GCTCTTACTTTGGTTCACATAGCGATACCCAACATGTGAGGCCCAATCATCATTTTTGTACATAGGTGCACCTGACGCGTGTTTACATTAGTATGCGCGCATTTGCCGGGGTGGTGGACTTTTTTGGGGGTCATTTTACATTTGTTTCATTTAAAAGCAAAAATGAAAAGTGTCCACAGTGTTCAGCAAAACCAATGCAGGGCAATCTTCCACAATCTTCACCACCAGTCACTTGAGGGACGATGCCTTTCACAAAGACAACTGGGAAGTATCCTCATGAACCATGCAAAGAAGCAAACAAAAAGGACATTGCCTTTTCCTCGTTTGATAATGTGTATTGGATATATAAAGATAAAAAACTAGTCATGTATACCTACTGGAGACAAGCGATGTAAACTACCATGCATGCAGGTTAGAGCCAAAAATATATGTGGTGTTTATGTGCCCTGAGATTCATTTTAGTGTATTTTATAATAAAACTATTGGTTTGATACACATTTGTGCACATATTGTGCGACATAAAAAATTGTAACTAGCATTTTTTAAATTCTACACGGCCTCTGCTTTCAGAAAATATATAATCGTTTAGGGGTTCAAGCTGATTTCCTGTCAAAAGTTCAGATTTTTTCATGTGTCTGCAAAAATTAAGAAATTGCTCAGGGTGGCAAGTGATTAAGGGGCCCGGGGGACCATGGCAGAAACGTTTCAGTGCATTGAAAATGCAACACTGTAAATTTGCCCTGAATGTTTTTGCCTGTCTGAAAATTGGTGCACGCACACGTGTGAGAAAGCTGGCAGATGTAAAGTCCCGCTTGTAGTCAAAGCAATTTCTGCTATGCCCGTTGTTCGTCCTGTATCACAGCAGACATGGCTGTCAATAAAACTTTATTACCATCAGCCCTGACAGTTTCACTGCCCTCTGACATGCGTCTGTTGGAGTGTGGTGACTCAGACCTGGAACCTTTCCAGATCGCAATCACAGCTTGGATTCACCTGTCAAGGAGCAGTCTTCTCTTTTGCAGAATTCCTTTTACATGTTATTGTAAAAATGATGGATTAAACCAGAAAACATCCCAAACTTCCCTTTTAGACCTAAAGCTTAAAATGCAAAAATACTTTTTTTTTCTCCCCAGTTGTCCCTGTTTAGGCCTTATGTATTGATCTATAGAAGTAAATGCTCCGTATAAAGAGGAGCTTCAGTTTCTGCTTTTTTTTAATGAGTTGCCCTGCAGATTATTAGTATTTAAAATTAAATATTTATATCGCAATAAAAAAAAAACGTTTTCACCTTCAATCCATGTCCGTTCCTGCACTAATTTCTCTGCCGCTGGATGGGATCAAATAAAAACAGACATTTTAGGACATTTACCATATACCTTTTCAGCATACTCTCAAAATATTTTGGAGTACGTTTGTTTTGTTTTTTCCTTTTAGCAAACTAATATTACAGCTGAGCCGCCATAATCGCTTCTACTGTAAAGCCAGCAGCTTAGTCGGCAGCTTAGTCTAACTCCTTCCGAATTTATGACGGAATTATCCCGTCATGGGTAGTGAATCGGTTAAACTGCTCATAAACCATTATGTTGATGACTTCTCACTGTTTTTTGACTTTTATAGCATATTTGTGGTGATATTGGGGGTTTAAAAGACCCCTAGTATCACCTTAACACTCTAAATGAGCTATTGAAGTGCAGATTACACTTCAATAGCTTATTATTGGGCTTCAGAAGTCTAGCAATGACAGCTATGGGACTGGAAGTGATATAATCTGTATCGCTCCCGGTGCCATAGAACGGGGAGGAGATCGGTGAACGGATGTTCACCGCTCGCCTCCACAGCTTCCCTCCAACAGCCGAGATGCCGGGCCTGTAGGAGGGGCAGCGGAGCCCAAAAAACACGGCAGGGGTGTCGGGCCGGGGATGTCCCGTTTACCAGATCGTAGAAGCGATCTGGTGGCAGCTGAGCCGCTAGAATTGCTTCTACTGTCTGTCTGTTTAACCCATTCAGAATGCATGACGGGATTATCCCGTCATGGGTCGTGAAGGGGTTAAACTGCTCACAAACCAATATGTTGATGACGACTTCTCACTCTTTTTTGACTTTTTAAAAATAATCTTTAACATTTTAGAAAATACAAACGGAAGACTTATATAATAAAAAAATTAGTATAAAGAACATGCCTAATAAAGGACACCTCTCTTCTGACTTTTAGGCCTCATTCACACATCCTAAATCAGCCATGGTAAGTTTAGTATATGTGAATGAGGCCCAATGAGTTTCTGACCTACAAATCAGTGCACAAGAGTCAGTCAACCAGCATGTTCTAAAGGAGGTCCGCACTGACAGTTCCTGTATTTTTCTCATGGCAGGTTTTTTGGCTGTTTGTTGTGGTTGATTTTCTTGCGTCTTTAAGTTTCATTAATAGAGTACCTATTGTCCTGTTGGTGTCATACAGTGTAGGATGTGAATCAGGTTGTGTCAGGGAAGCCTCGGGCGCTATGCTTTGTACTGGGAAAGAATGAGATGACTTCCCGAACTGCTGAGAATAACACAATGTACACAAGTCTCATAACCTCCGGGAAGTAAACCTCTGCATCTCAGATGGACGTACAGGCACAGTCTTCTGGGTCCTTTTCATAGACATACACGCTCGGATTGGGATGGGATGTGTAGGTCAACACAGGCAGGAAGGTGAGAATGGGTGGGCACCTTCAGTTCCAACTTATCTGGGGGTAAAAAATGGTGATCAGTCAAAATATACTAGTCTCCATTTTAGGCCCATTTTCACACAGCCTTTCCATCAGTCTGTTTATGACCTTTGATTACACAGATCAAAACCAAACTGCAATACATCTTTATGGGCGACCGGATGTACGCAGATGTGGGTTTGCCTTCTGCATCAATGTAAGTTCATCTAGCCAAATGCAAAAAACGTGTGTCCAGGTCCCCTTTTACTGACCTGGCTAGATGTTGGTGTATATAGGTAGGCTCATACATGCTTTCATCTGGCCACCCATAGTAATTACATGGTTCAGTTTTTCCTCCATTGTAAAGTAGATTATAAATGGGAATGGGAACGGACACAGATATCACATTTGATCCCATTCATAGATCATAGATGGATCCCCTGCTGAGAGGGAATAGAAGGCACTCCTGTGAAAGCGGCCTTAAAATGTTACAAATGTTCTTCTTGGTCTTTTGTAGATACTGAATTATTATTATTATTATTATACAGGATTTATATAGTGCCAACAGTTTGTGCAGCGCTTTACAATATAAGGAAGACATTACAATCACAATACAATTCAAGACAAGATGGTACGGAGTGCCCTGCCCCTGAGGGCTTACAATCTAAAAGGGAGGGGGAAGTGATACATGAGGAGGTAGCTGTGTGGGGATGAATTGTCTGAGAATGTGATGTTTGATCGGTTAGGTTGTGGTGGGATAGGCTTCCCTGAAGATATGAGTCTTAAGGGATCGCCTAAAGGCAGTCAGAGTGGGAGACAGACAGACGGACAGGTTGGGGGGAAGAGTTCCAGAGGATGGGAGAGACTCTAGTGAAGTCCTGGAGGCGAGCATGGGAGGAGTTTGATGAGGGAGCTGGAAAGCAGGAGGTCATTTGAAGAGCGGAGGGGACGGTTAGGGTGATACTTTGAGACAAGGTTTAAGATGTAGCCAGGGGCCGAGTTGTGGATGGCTTTGTAAGTCATTGTTAATATTTTGAATATTATCCTTTGGGCTATTGGAAGCCAGTGGAGAGATTGGCAGAGGGGGATTGCAGACACTGAGCGGTTGGTTAGGTGAATCAGTCTAGCAGCTGCATTCATGATAGAATGAAGGGGGGATAGCCTTGTAGAGGTAGGCCAATGAGGAGGGAGTTGCAATAGTCAAGACGAGTGATAACAAGGGAGTGGATGAGTAATTTAGCGGTTTCATTGGTGAGGAAGGGGCGTATTTTCGAGATGTTGCAAAGGGGAAGGCGGCAGGATTTGGATAGTGATTGGACGTGGGGAAGAAAGGTGCGGTTTGAGTCAAGGATGACATATATATATATACTTTTGTGTGTTCCAGCTTCTCCTTTTTAATGCAAAATCCATCAAGGAAGATTGTACTCTCATCATGGCCACTGCAGGTGTGCAAACCCAGGAAATGTCCAATCAAGTCCATAATCAATTGGCAGGACGGTCTATCTTTGTAGATATCCAAAGTGTGCGTTTTTGTTGGACTGACCCTTTAAATGCAAGCTCACTTCACTCGTTTGCTTGGTTAGATATTACTTGTAGCACTGTTGTGTTCTTCTACTAAGTGATGGGAAGGGTCCATTGTACATGGTAAAGGTTTTATTAGTTTTAGTATTAATAGAAAGAACCATCAGCAAAACCTATTTGCAATAACATGCGCTTCCAAACTTGTCTTGTTTCAGTATCATTAATTAGATCAGTGTTTGTTTGTTTTTTCACTCCTACTCTAAGATGAAGTTACCTTTTTTAATTCTATAAATTTTGTGGTTTTCTGTAATGCAAGACTGGACAAATCCCAGGGAGCTAGGTAGCCAGTGCTTCTCAAAAATTACAGTTGTTGCCCAACTTTAAAGGTTTTCTCTAGTTGTTGTCAATGGAGCTGGCTCCTAAAAAAATCCTGCTGGCCTTCTGGATTAGGCAGACTGGCTCCTGAATTCCATATTAATTTGTCTACCCCTGCTCTAATCAGGGCCGTATTTAACGCGGGGCAAAGAGGGCGCTTGCCCTGGGCCCATTCATGGCTGTGGGGCCCAAAGCAGCTGCCCCTCGAGCCCGCTGCCAGCAGAAACTTGCCGATCGGATCGCCCGCGTAGCGCAGGGATCGGCAAGGTGTCCGTACCGCCGCGGTCGTACCGTAGAATCAGCACAGGAAAAAAAACCCTTCTGAATAATAGGGGCTCGACGCTGAGGTGGGGAGCCTTTGCGGAGGACAGCACTTCAGCGTTGGGCCCCTATTATTCCTAGGGGCCCGACGCCCCTATGAATAATAGGGGCGCCTTGTTTGCCCTGTTGGAACAGCACATCACCTCACTCGCAGTAGACACGGCCAGCACAGTACTGGTGAGTGGCAGCCTGGAGAGCCTTGAGGAGAGCGATGTGGAGAGTACTGGTTTAACCAGGGCCCTGTGGGGTCTCACTAGGGCTCTGTGGGGTCTCACCATCCCTAGTTAAACCCCACAGAGCCCTGGTTAAACCAGGGCTCTGTAGGGTCTCGCCATCCCTAGTTAAACCCCACAGAGCCCTGTTGGGACCCTACAAAGCCCTGGTGATACCCTATAGAGCCCTAGTTTAACCAGGGCTCTGTGAGGGCTCACCAGGGCTCTGTGGGGTCTCACCAGGGCTCTGAGGGGTCTAACCAGGCTGGTGAGACCCCACATAGCCCTGGTGCTGGTGAGACCCTACAGAGGCCTGGTTTACCCAGGGCTCTGTAGGTTCTCGCCAGCCCTAGTTAAACCCCACAGAGCCCTGTTGGGACCCTACAAAGCCCTGGTGATACCCTATAGAGCCCTAGTTTAACCAGGGCTCTGTGAGGGCTCACCAGGGCTCTGTGGGGTCTCACCAGGGCTCTGAGGGGTCTAACCAGGCTGGTGAGACCCCACATAGCCCTGGTGCTGGTGAGACCCTACAGAGGCCTGGTTTACCCAGGGCTCTGTAGGTTCTCGCCAGCCCTAGTTAAACCCCACAGAGCCCTGTTGGGACCCTACAAAGCCCTGGTGATACCCTATAGAGCCCTAGTTTAACCAGGGCTCTGTGAGGGCTCACCAGGGCTCTGTGGGGTCTCACCAGGGCTCTGAGGGGTCTAACCAGGCTGGTGAGACCCCACATAGCCCTGGTGCTGGTGAGACCCTACAGAGGCCTGGTTTACCCAGGGCTCTGTAGGTTCTCGCCAGCCCTAGTTAAACCCCACAGAGCCCTGTTGGGACCCTACAAAGCCCTGGTGATACCCTATAGAGCCCTAGTTTAACCAGGGCTCTGTGAGGGCTCACCAGGGCTCTGTGGGGTCTCACCAGGGCTCTGAGGGGTCTAACCAGGCTGGTGAGACCCCACATAGCCCTGGTGCTGGTGAGACCCTACAGAGGCCTGGTTTACCCAGGGCTCTGTAGGGTCTCGCCATCCCTAGTTAAACCCCACAGAGCCCTGTTGGGACCCTACAAAGCCCTGGTGATACCCTATAGAGCCCTAGTTTAACCAGGGCTCTTTGGGATCTCACCAGGGCTCTTTGGGATCTCACCAGGGCTCTGTGTGGTCTAACCAAGCTGGTTAGACCCTACAGAGCCCTGGTGAGACCCTAGAGAGCCCCGGTTTAACCAGGGCTCTGTGGGGTTTTACCAGGCTCTGTGGTGTCTAACCAGTCCCCACAGAGCCCTGGTTATACCAGGGCTTTGTATGGTCTTACCAGGGTTCTGTGGGGTTTCACCAGGACTAGTGAGACCCCACAGAGCCCTGGTGAGACCCCACAGAGCCCTGGTGAGACCCCACAGAGGTGAGACCCCACATAGCCCTGGTAGGGGAAATGGCACTTTCGGCATTATGCCAAAAGTGGCATTTACTGCCGATAAGTTTCGGCGGCCGATATATCGGTGCATCCCTAATATAAACGGCTGAGCTTGCAAACGGTTTGAAATCCTGCAGTCAAAGTTTTTTTGAGAGAAGCCTATGATCTATGTGTGCTGTTTTTTTTTTTTTTCTGGGTGTTGGGGAGGTGAGAGAAATTCCTGGGGGGGGGAAGAAAATGTTTGCCCAGGGTCCGATCAGTATTAAAGACGGGCCTGGCTCTAATATATATTTTTCAGCAATTATTGCTCTTCCATTTACATGTATGGGTAGGTCTGCCTACATTCAGCTTGAAGACAAAGTTGTATTATGCCTTTTAGGAGAACAATAGCTGTGTGTACTTGCACAGGTGAAGATTGCAACTGAGATGGGAAAATGCAATAAGGAAGTTCAAGCTTAAATGATCCAAAGAGCAAAAATCCTTAATTCAGGCACATTCACATCTCTGTGTTGCAGTGATGCACAATAAAATGGAGTTTTATCCCATGTTTAAAGCAACTTGAAACTGAATGCAGTATGCTTCGGTACCCCTCATTTTGAATGGTATATGACCACATGACGGTCAACAATCTATGCCAGGGGTGGGCAAACTTCTAGCCCTCCAGCTGTTGAGGAACTACAAATCCCATGAAGCATTGTAAGATTCTCACAGCCACAGGCATGACCCCCAGAGACAGATGCATGATGGGATTTGTAGATTAACCACAGCTGGAGGGCTGCAGTTTGCCCACCCCTGATCTAGTGTGCTTCGTTAATAAAAATTGGGCAGGTCACCACAATAGATGGGTACCTACCTTCCTATTGCACTCCAGAATGCGTTTTTCTTTCTTTAATGGATACATTTATTTATTTATTGCTTATTGTGCTCGTTGCCTGATGAACATTTACTCTGTTTTATGTAGACTTTGTGATTCATTGATTAAATATATATTTTTGGAAAAGAAAAACCCTGCGTATGGTTGCATTAGCTGCCATTCAAAATGTTAACAACCGAAATACCATACATTAACGAGTTTGCAGTAATGGAGTGCAGCGGAAATATCTGAATGCGGCCTTTGTGTATAAATAGCACAAACAGCCAATATAAAAATGTATTCAGGTAATAGAACTGAGCAAAGCAAGTGTTGAGGTTACTGTGCCCTTAAATACTAGCTGGTGCAATTCCTGTAAGGCATCTAATATAATCTAATTGTTGCTTCATATTTTCTTGTAGGCTTCTTCAGCTCATTAAGAGATGCAGCTGCTAAAATAACCTCTGAAGGATCTGGCAGAAGACGAGCAACAGAGAATGCGGAGTAAGCTTTGCCTCAGCAGTTTGGTTGCTGTTGTCTGTTTGCTGAGCCATGTCTACAGCCAGGCCACTGGTGAGTGTTGGTACATTGCCTTACCCACCCTGGCTTTTGCCAGTCAACTTTAAAAAGAAAGTGTGGTTTATTTTCAGTGAGCACATATTTTCAGTTAACATTGCTGGGACTTTTACCACTATATATGCTTTCTTAAAGAATATATTAAATATAGAGCTTTGTAGTTTAGCCTCTATAGGGAGCTGTCTTTGGTCAGATATTCTGTCTTTCTTTACAAATGTTGAGCTAAAATGTCAGCCACAAAGTGATTTCATTGGTGATGTCATTGGTGAGTTCACTGGTGACATGACATAAACATCCGACTGTTTAATTGGCCATACAGATGGCAATATTCGGTCAATATCAACCAAGAATCATAAATACAAGTAATGACCTGAAACTACATGATCTACCAACAAGAGGTCTGTCGACCGACATAATTCAGTTGATTTTGAAGTCAAAACTGGGCAAACAATTTGCAGTTGTAATACAGTTAATTGAAAGATTACATTGAAGTGAGACTGAAACAGGAAAAAACGACGACAATTTTGGGATGGGCTCAATCAGGGCAGTTTTGACCTTATCTCCTTGTCAATCAAAATCACCATTTTATGCCTTCTACTGATTTGGGATTTTGGCAAAAAGTAGAATTTTGATCATTCTATGAAATTGCCATGGTGTATGGCTTATGGCCAGCATTAGGCTGCCTTCACACCCATGCATTGTGGGCATTTCACTATGCGTTATCTCAACATGTAGTAACATACAGTTGTAGTTTTGTTGCGGTGCCATTTTGTTTTCAGTGCCGCCACAGCTCACTAGGGCAAACACACCCAATTGAGCAGACATTGTAGCGCCCAGTGGGAACCATCTGCGCATTGTGGTGCAGTGATTTACAAAACAAAAGGTCCTTGTCCGCTTGAAGGAGCGTTGTGGTGGTTTGGTGGGCCTTTCAACTGAGCAGGCTGCCTTAACACAGCACATGTTAACATACCAACAGAACACCTTGTAACACACATGCACTAATGCATTACTTTGACAAACTGCATATATCTAAATGGGCCATTCAACTTGCATTGTGAGAAGAAGCATAAAAGAACAACCTTTGTGTAGCACTGTATCACAGAAAGCAGGTTCTGACTATTTGATATGGCTGCCCCTATGTACATATAATTACAAATCATAGTGGCTTTTTTTTAAATATTAAAGCTGAACTGTGTGTTGGGGTACTGCAGTATCCCAAATTCTCAGTGGCACTTTTCCATTTTAACATGCTTGCTGTTTCATAGCTAAGTATATCTCATCTACACCGTTAAGGATTCAGTCTCAGTTCATTCATGTAATTGCTAGGGGCAGGAGAATGAAAAGAAGGTAAGTTCTGCTGATGCGGTCAGCATTAAATCGAACCTATTGATTTGCCCCCATAAACAAAGTGCAAGTACATTTTGAAGGCACATAATAAACAAACCCTTAAAGTATAAATCCTGTGTAATAATAAGAAAACCTGTCAGTACAGTAAAAGTACTGAATAGGCTGTTGTAGTACAGTGCAGAGAAAAGGCCAACAAGATGGTTTAAAATCTGTGTACATTATTGTGGCCCAGGATTCGGGGTACCTAAGGATCTGGAGGGATTCCCTGAAGGTATGAGAAGTCTTTGGAAACCAGCTGCCTTCTGATACAGAGTTCTGATGGCACAGGGCTACAGGGAGCCTCAGCCTGCAAGTCGGGTTCCTCCCTCTGTCATTAATTAGTGCCAGCTCTAAAAGGGAGCTGAGCTTATGTCAATTTAAAATATTACGGCTGCCATAAATCTGTGAATGAAGAAACACAAAATGTTGAGATCGGGAAAGTCACAGTCATAAAACTTGATGAGGGACAAGTAAACTTTGATGTATTTACAGTGGATAGTCAATGGACTCCTATAGTCTTTCCTTTCCTCTTATAGTTCCTTCTCACTCTCCTTCTTTTCTTTCCATTCTTTTCTTCTTTTTTTTTCTTTTCTGTATCTATTCCTATATATTCTTTGTTCTATTTTCACTGATGACTCATATTCTATATGTAAAATTTAGATTTCCCTTGACTTATCTATGTAATGAAGTCTGTGGAAGTGAGTGTCCCTATAGCTGGCCGTACACTGCTAGAGTTTCGGATGATTCACAGGGATCGGCCCAAATTGGGTGGGTGGCCCTGATGGCTCAACAAACATTACTCAATCGACTTTTGTCAAAGGAGCCATTCCAAAAATATTTAGCCAAACAATGATTAGAAACAGCCAGCTGCAGTTACTATTTGGGTATTCAGCAATGGAACACAGTAGCCCCGCAGGTAGTAGGGGGGATTCCTCCATCCACGCTGTTAGAATTCTTTTGTTTAGGCTGCAGGCTGAACAAAATAAATCTATTAGTGTATGATCCGCTCAAGTGTACCTCATCCTCAAATCCTGCTTGGTTAACCTGTACTCTTTCTCCCTTTTCTATAACCCCCCCAATCTCCATTTATCCTCTAGCTTATCCTCTATTTTTTCATCTCATCTCCCACTCCCCTCATCTCCTCTCTCTCCAGCCCTACCTAAATTACAGAAAATGCTCCAGCATATGTTTATGACTATAGTATTCTTAATTGCTATTAACTGCTTGCAGTCCCCTCTGCTATGCACCTATTCCAGGCTATCGTGTTCAGGTCAAATGAAATGCACGAAAGATGGTCTATGAACCAGCGCCTTACATCTGTAATTTCCCATATAAAATATTTTTATGACCACGACATGTTGTTGTTTATTTTTCATTGGAATTTCCTTGTATCTCTATTTTCTGGTGCGCAATGTCTTCCTCTTGTGTCCTGTTTGCTAATAAGGACCATGCTTGGTTTATTTTACACAGAAGTAATTTTAATCCATATAGCTCTTATTTATTCAGCTGGTACAAGTATACATAGATTATTTTATGTGTACTTGTACCAGCCGAAAAATTACACAAACATTTTCTAAAGAAGTAAATGTCTTGACATCGTTGTGCTGAACCTGAGAATTCTTTGCTTTTTTACTATTTAAAACAAGACGTACCGAGAGGTTAAAGGAGAACTATGAGGTGAGTGCTTTTCACTCACCTCATAGTTCTAGCCGACCTGTGACAATGAGACTGTCACAGGTCGGCTCAGTAGATCAGGAGGTGAGGGAACACATACCGGCGTTCGCTCACTTTGCGATCCTGTCACGGCTCTCTGCCGTGACAGGGGAGGGGCTGGATTCCCCATCCCCGCTTCGATCCTCCATCGCTGACTGGCGGAACAGATGGGGGAGGGGGCGGGTACAGCTGGCTCTGCCTCTAGATGGGTATAGCCAGCTGTCACTCACGCAGCTGGGCGGATCTAGACATAATTGTCGGGATCCGCTTCAGCTGCGGCGTCTCAGTATACCGCGAGCTGTAGCTCGCGGTATACTGAGCTTAGGGTGACGGGAGGACGCTAGTTTGTGTCCTCTCGTTACCCTAAGGAGAACTATGGGGAAAAGCCCTAACCCCATAGTTCTCCTTTTAAATCTCCACCCGTCCTAATTGATCTTATTTATTAAACTATTAGGCCTCATTCACGCACTACGCAAGAGCAAAATTGTATATTGCGTACATACGCGTATGTACGTGCGTATGTACACACACACATATGCGCGTCTGTGCGCACTACATGCAATCCCAGAATGCATAATTTGTAATAGAAATTTTAATGAACTGTACGTGCATACGCGCACAAACATATGCGTGTACGCGTGTAAAATACGCAGAAATACGCTGCCCGGACGCATCTCGGTTCCATTCTGTTTTTCCGCGTTTTTATGCTACGCAAATATACGGCTCCATACGCAGCTATGTGTATGGAGCCATTTATTCGCATATGCTGCAATACGCGCGTATATGCGCGGCAGTGTGAATGAGGCCTTAACATTAGCTGTTTTAAAGCAACACTACCAGTCAGTGAATCTCTCTTTTGCCGAAGTATTGTGGTGGTTTATTCCTTGGCCAGATTATTACTGCTATCCTGGGCCATGAAGAGGAGATATCCCATACTAGTACTATGGCAAGGCTATGTACAATCTATTGTGTAAGCATCTTGTTTCTTAACCTCCTTGGCAGTATTCCCGAGTGTGGCTCGGGGTTAATTTTCTGTACCATAAGCGGTAACCACGAGCCACACTCGGGAATACACAGCGCGTCTCTTACCTTGTCCCTCGAGCCTCGCTGTGTCCTCCGACCAATGCCGGCATCCGCCTTCCGGGTTCCGTCCCTTGCGAGCGTCTGCGTTGTAGGGGGGCGGAACCGGTGGGAGATTCAAAAGTTAGGGGGGAAAAAAACTAAAAAAAAACTAAAACAAATAGAATGAAAAAAAGAAAAAAATCATACCGTCAGGGAGGTTAAAGTTCAACTCTAGGCAGATAGCTAAATACAGAGATAAAATAGATCTGGGAAATGTTTTACCTGTCAAAGGAATTGTATTTCCTCCTCATGTATCACTTGCCCCTCCTTTTTAGATTGTAAGCCCTCACAGGCAGGGCCCTCCTTACCATCTTGTCTTGAATTGGCACTATATAAATCCTGTATAATAATAATAATCATAATATTTTTGTCTGCCCAGTTCTGAGATATGCTCAGCTCTGCCACACAGCACAGCTGTCTAGCAGGACAGGAAACCCAGGGGTGTGGAATTCCTATTGCCTGACACCCGGGACATGCAGTTCCGGGCACCGGGCAGGTGTTAAGCAAGGCTAAATATAGGGCTAGATCTAGAGCAGGTGAGCCGCCGTTCATTTTCTACAAGTGATGCAGCCGGCCAGATATTTAAAGGAGAACTATGGGTGCACACAAGGGCAGTCATATTTGCTCATTACATATATGGATTGTTCCTTTTTGAACCACTTATCTCATGGCAGGTCTACTAGGCAGAGTCTGTTCGATTACAATCAATTTCTAATGACGATAGCCTACAATGTAGGATACCTATACCTTGGGTGTACATGACAGTGTTCAGGAGCAGGATTTATATAAGGGGATGTGCACTTGATTTGTGTTAAGTGTGACTGATTGATTTAGTGATAAGATAGGTCCACTTTAAATCAGGGTATTTTGGAGGTCATTACTTAAGTGTATCTCTCCGTTTCAAGCTTTAACTTATTCTGATTCATGTTCATGTTTTAGATTTTCCAGAATTCTATCGAAACCTTACATGTGTGACACACGATCTAGATGCAATGTCCTGTAAATGGGAAACTCCGGACTCTGCTGGATCTGCAGTACTCTATGAGGTTTGTTTATGGTAAGAATCACCCTTCATCTCTATAAGTTTATTTGGACTTTCTCTAAGCAGATGTATGTCTATTCAACAGTAAAAAGGTGGAAGAACGCTGCTCCCCTTCTGAGCTCTGCTGTACAGGGGATCACAGGTGTCTCATAGCTTGTCATATTTAGGTGTTCACGCTAGATGCAATCAAATATTTTAACCCGCACTGCAAGGGTTAAGTTCTTGTTTTTGTCTAGGTTCTAAAATTACAAAGATATACCGTATATACTCGAGTATAAGCCTAGATTTTTTGTAAAAGTAGGTACCTCGGCTTATATTCGGGACGGCTTATACTCGAGTATATACGGTACTCACCCAATTCTACGAGCCAGCTGGCTCTTAGACTGGTGCCTTCGGCCTCACTCCCCCTCTGCTCCACTGGTCTAAGGTGCCTGTGTCAATAGTGTTCTGTATACTGTGTATAGTATACGTGAGAATGCTAAGGGATATACCTGCAGTAGAGGATAATATGGGCTAAAGGGACCAGTCTAAGAGCAAGACAGCTCCGAGAATCAGGTAAAGCTGGATAAAATGCAAAAAAAAAAATTTCTTTTGGTTAACCTGCACTCTTTTTCTCCCTTTTCTATAATCCCCCCAATCTCCATTTATCCTCTGGCTTATCCTGAACATAGAAAATATGACATACTCCTCCAACGCTTACGAGTGCTGATCGAGGAATCTCCTGCTCTCTTCATTGTATTCTGACAGCGGCTAGAAAGACATTTGAACCCTTTTGCTGCCGGAGCCGTATGCCTCAGGGCGCTGGCTGTGGGCCCCTGTAAACAGACTATAGCTGCCAGGAGTCGTCTATTTACCAGTGGTGACTGTTGGCTTTAAACTGAAAGCGATTCTGTTGGCCGTAAAGCCGTCAGATCACTTCCAGATCACTTCCAGGGGCTGG